CTTTCTTTCTTAGTGTATTATAGCTAGTTTTACCGCTAGCTTATTATAGTATATCTTCTTGTTTTTCTTTTATTCATATTACTAAGATAGTCAGGTCTCGCGCTTCCCTATACAGTCTATTAATATAAGGCCTAACATAATAGAATGAAAGTATTATACGTAGAACTTTACTAGTATCAGGAGTTAATATAAGATAAACGCTTATATTCTTAATAAAGAAGTTATTAAGTTTTATAATAAGTAGTTTTATTTTGTTAATCTTTCTATCTCATACGTTAAGAACCTAAAGTAGAATACTCTTAAATAGTTAATTTCACTTTATTAGTTTACTTATAACTATTTTTTAATAATTTTTAGAGAGTATAGTTATTAATTAGTATATACTATCTCTAAGACTAATATAGAGAAGATAAATTATTTACCTATATCTATATCTTAATACTATCATAGAATTATTAAAAGTTCTTCTAGTTCTATTAATACTAATACTTCATCTTAGATATCTTTTTATAGAAAGTATATTAAGACTATGAATACTTCTAAGAATACGGCTATTATCTAGACGTACTTTAGTTATTAAGTAACCTATGCTAATATTATTGTTAGTTCTTCGTATAGTGCTTATTAATGCTATTCTTACTATAAGTATACTAAAGAAAGATTAAGTAGTACTTAAAATAGAATTTTCTATTATAAGCTTAAGTTTAATAGTTTTTAATATACAAGTTATTCTACTAAGTAGTATCTTAATTTACTAGACACTCTCTATTAGAGATAGAAAGCACTTATCAGAGCTAACATAAGTTAGTCTCCCCTTATAAATTACTAACCTATACTAATTTTAACTGTTTAAAATTGATGATTTCTACGATAAGCGCCATACTCTAGTTAGTAAGACTATTAAATATAAGAATGCCTAATTAAGGTATTTTAATGATAATCTCTTTGAAGAGAGTATATACTCTTTTACCTCTAAGCTATTACGCCTTCTTATGTTATCTTTCTACTCTCTCTCTTATAATATATACTCATAAATCATACTAATTACTTATATATTAGACATTAATTTACTACCATTAGAAGTACTTAGATAAGTATATTTTATCCAGTTCGTATCTTAGTATTTTCTAATATAGTTGAAAGTTAATTTATAATTATAAGTTAAATTATATATTATATTAATACTATACACTTAATTCGCCTATATATAAGACTCTATTCTAGCCTTTGATATATAGTGGGATGGGGTGACAAAAAAGGGAATCCAATCAGTTATATTTTTTCAACATTTATTCCTCAATAGGTATTAGCGTTGAACTAATAAGATATATAGGGTTTGATTGAGATTTTGTTTGCGTTTAGTATAGAGGTCTAACTAAAGTAATTAGTTAGTACTAGGAAGGGTTTATAGCTTCTTAAAAGTAATGTAAAAAAATCTTGTAAATTTAGCTCTTAATTTCCCGTTATAAATATGAACATTTTACCTATCTATTAATATATAGAGATATATTGGATATACTATTTCAACTTATATATTACTAGAAAGTATATAAAAAGATAAGAGAAAGATAGTAGAGGTAATATACTTATTAGATAAAGAAATCATATTAATAGATATATATTAACTAGTACTTAGTATAATACCCCTTAACTTCTACTACTCTAGAATAGCGTCCTAGTAAAGATAGTATATAATCATGTATATCCTTTTATAGTATTTTTAGCTACTACTCCAAATTATAGAAATTAAAGTAGTAATACTTATATTTATCACTTTAACGCTAAGAAAAATACCAGATAGCTTACTAAGCATATTCTTTCATAAGCTCCAAACATTTTCTATAAGATTTAAATTAGAACTATAATATAGATATAGTAATAGCTTAATATAGTTTTTGTAACGGCGCAGGCAAGACTACTCGGATCAGTATCGGCGGTAGTGTCACTCAGAGGCATATAGGAGTGCGTAGGACATCAAACAAGCCTTAATTCGAATAGACACCTATAGGCCTTATACGAAAGGATATCAAAAGTCTACAGAGCTAGCTACAGAGAGTGTCTCCTTATATACTTATCTTAGTTAGATCCGAATCAGATCTAACCTCACAACGAGTAGTTAATAAAGAGAGCGGCGAGTACTACCTCCAATCCAGCTCTAGGATTAGTCCGATACATGGCGAAGTTATAACATCGTTACACTACCCCCCTCTTAGTAGACAGCTAGTCCCATAGCTATAAGACTATTCTTATACCTCTCTATTACAGTTCCTCCACGCTAGCGCGAGAGACTATTTCGGGTAACTTTCAGCTTATTCTATACCTACTTTTCTTTTCTTTCCCTATACTCGATCATCCTACAGCGAAGTTATATCATCTATACCTTTCTTCTAAGCTTAAATCCACTAGCTAAGAGCCTAAGAAGGTCCTAGCTTTAATAGGTTTTATTCATAAAACTCTCTTAGCTTATAAGGAGCTCCTATAAAGTTAGAGGCGGGGTACTAGATAAGATCTAGATTATGTCCAATCTAGCTCACCTAATACTTTAACTTAGCACGATATAACTTACTAGTAAGGATCTAATCTACTTCCTACTCTTCTACACCTTAGATAGGCTCACTAGGAGGCTTAGGAGCTTCTTATTCTAAGAGAGAGTCTTAGAGGTCCTTATATAGCAGGTCCGAAGCGAACACGTTATAGATACGAGAGCCTACTAGTAGTTAAAGTTAATATAAGTGGCCAACTTTCTCTAGAACCTTAAAGGGACCCTCCCACTTAGCGGCCAGCTTACGACTCAGACGGTTAATTACTAGGTTCTTAGTATCTAAGAACACTATATCACTAATATCCTAATTAACAGGGCGACGATAGCGGTTAACAGCGGATCGCATCTAGTTCTAGGCCTTCTCCATCTACTACTTAGCGGTATCCTATACGGCGTATATACGGGTAGTAAGTGCTAGAGCATTCTTATAATTAAGTTTATTAGTAGGAGTAAGGATACTAGTTAGATACTACTAGTTCTAGCTTTGCTTAGGTACGGATCCGTAAAGGATCTAATATGGAGACATACTAATAAAAGAGTAAGGTAGAGAAATTTAGGCATAATTAATTAGAGGCAGCAGCCTACTCTAGTTATCCTAGTAGTAAGTTATAAACAGACGTAGTCTCTAATTAATATACTTATTCATAATCTCTATCTAACTATTAGTTTCCTTATAATAGGCGGTAGATAGCTTAACCTTAACACCTAGAATCTAACAGAACTCAGACCAGAAACTAGACACGAACGATAGTCCTCGATTAGAGATAATTATCTCTAGGGTATGTCTAAATTAGTATACCTACTAGATAAAGAGTTTAGCTATACCTCTTACGTCGATTATCTTATAACATAGAATAGAGATAGCCTATTTAGACAACTAGTTAATCACGACCATAATCTAATCGTATCCAGCCTTATTCTTAGGGAATTGCTTAAAGTTAATACAGAGGTGTTATATTAGCTAGTTAGAAATTAGAAAGAGGTAAATCAGCCCTAGAACTTAGGTCTATCTTAGATAGGCTTTACAGCAGGCTAGGCAGTTCCGTATATACCTCTTATAGATAGCTTCTATACCTTTTCAATAGTATTTCTAAGATAGCAGCTAATAAGTCTTCTTTATACTTAGGTAGGCTAATAAGACCTAATTATAGGCCTCTTAGATCAGTCGCGTACACGCAGGGGAGTCTAGCTGTACGCAGAGACGGTTCGAGTAGAGTAATAGTCTATTTTCTATTTAGTACTTATTAGGGAGAGTACGGCGCTCTTTCTTAAACGATATATGGTTTTGCTGCAACAGAAGCTTAATTAGCTTAAGAGAGTCTAGGGACATAGTCTCCTAAGTAGGCTTAACTACTAGCAGCAAAGTAGCCTACTTAGATAGTTATTCCACATATGCCTTAGCGAGTTCAGAGTTAATTCGGTTGTTAAGTCAGTGCGGTCTTAGGAGAACCCGCGAATGGTTATTAATTTAGGCATTTCTTAAGTTCTATAAGTCCTATTCTCAACGGCTAAGGATATTAGCGCGAGCGTTGTCCTTACCGGGCGTATATCAGATACAGAAGTTAAATAAGGCGAGCTGTTCAGCCTATCTTACTTGTTGGGCGTTCAGAATCTTAGTAGTCATAAAGTATTCTAGCGAGCGGTAATTGGAGTACACTTGGACTTAAGAGTAGGTAGAGGCTAACTTAGATCTCTACTTATTAAATACTATAATAATAGCATACAACTCTTTATCGTGTCTCTCCTAGTTCAGCTCCGATCTAGATAGAACCTTACTAAAGAAGACTACTAGGCACTATAAGCTATTAGGTTAGTTCTAAGACAGTACTCTAGCTATAACACTATTAGATACGTCCGTCTCTACCTTAGTATTATACTCTAGATAGTAGTAATATAAGGTAGAGATTACTAATAAGGCTGCCTTTAACCTTTTAAAGGCCTGGTCGCATTCTAGATTCTATACGAATAGTTTCGCAGGGCTCTAAAGTATAATAATTAGCTTAGTAATTCGCGAGTATTCTAGAACGAATTACTAATAGAATCCTATAAAGCCTAGAAACAACTTCACACTAGTAACGGTAGTAGGTTAGACTTAGTTGCGGAGGGCTTCTACCTTATTAGGATCTACCTCTAGGCCTTTATTAGTAAGAACGTATCTTAAGTATTTTATATAAGTAACATAGAATTCACTCTTCTTAATATTAACTTAGAGTCCTGCTTATCGTAGCCTTTCTAGTACCTTACGCATATATTAGATGTAGTCTAACTCTAACTTAGAGTAGATAAGAATATCGTCTAGATAGGCGATATAGAAGTTGTCTAAGTAATTAATTAACACATCGTTTATATATCGCTAATAGGTTACTAGACCGTTATACAGCCTAAAAGGCAGTATCTTAGTCTTGTACGTTCTATAACGTATATAGAATATAGTATATTCTTTAGAGTTAGGGTCTATCTAGATCTTATTAAAAGCCGCACGTATATTAAGCTTAGTAAAGATCTTAGCCTTATAGGGATAAGTAAGTAGCTTATTAATATGCAGGATTAGATACGCATTCTTACGTATAATAGTATTAAGTTTGTAGTAATCCACGTAGATACGTAGGTCTCTGTTTAGCTTCTAAATATATAGGACTAAGAAGGCGAAAGAGCTGTAGCTTAGGGAAAAGTATCTCTTCTAAAGGTTCTCTATAATAAACGCCTTAGTCGCTTAGAGCTCTTTAGTGCTCTACTTATATAGGGGACTAAACTAATTTAGTAGAGGTTTAGTAAGAACGATCTTATAGTCGTACGGGCGGTGTTTAGATAGCTAATTAGCTACTATTTTACTAAATACGTCTTAGTATGGATAGTAGACGGACAGGAGTCGGTCCTAAACTAACTTAGTATTTTTAGGATTATCTTTTAGTCATCTTTCCTCTAAAATATAATTAATCTTATAGATACTTATCGTAAAGAACTCATTTTCCTTACGTTTTATAGTATAGTAGAAGGCGTTAGTAGAGATAAGTAAGATATAGGGTGAAGGAGAGAAAGAGGGTGTAGATTAGATAGGTTTCGGAGTAGAGTTGAGTGCTAGAGGTAGAGAATAGGCTTTAGAGAGTCGAAGAAGGCTACGGATCCGTTAAATACTAGCCGTAGTTAGACTGTTTTTTCTCTAATAGTCGTCCTTCTCCTAGAGAGCGTTGCGTCTTTCGATATTCTTCGCAATCTTAGTATTAACAGCTAGTTATTTTAACTATACTAGAATAGATAGGGCAGGATTATATATTACTAGGTATTTAGCTAGCTATACAATTTGGTTCCAAACCGTATCTAATTAAAGCTAGAATTAGCGTAGCCACTTAATACTAATAATACAATCCTATAATCTTAAATCTATAATAACGAATAGATAGTTATAGATCTTATAGCTATTAATAGAGAGGTGTAACTAGATATATTAGTTAACCCTCGTCTAAACCTAATCTTAAAATTCTTTAACTATAATCTTAAAGGGAAGTCTTTAGATAGGAACCTAAAGCGAACTAGAGATTATACGAGTAATTATAGAATTTAAAAATAAGAACTCTTAGACGCTAGTATTAACTAGCAACTACAGGCTGACACTATAACCCTTTAAATAAAGAACGGTAGGGACTTAGAAGTGCTTTCCTCTAAATAAGTGTAATAGATTAATCTTAGTAAGGTCATACTTATAAATACCTAGGGCGGAGCGTTTTCCTAGGCTTTATTATTTCCTAACTAGTCCTTATCCAACTAGTATTCTACAGCTTCCTTAAACACCTCTTCTTCTTAGAAAGCTTCTATCTCTCTTACCTAAGGGACTATATAGTCGCTCGTAAAGTGTCTAGGCTTACCGCATTAGTAATAGTTACTAGAAGTAGTTTAGCGTTCTAGTACTAGTATCTTAGAGATAGGCCTAGGTACACTCGAGAAAGCCCAAGATAGGGTCGGAGTGGGGTCGGACCTTACTTCGTATATTGGTGGGCGATACTCTCTTATCTAATAGGTAGTTAACTTAGGCTTCGTAGTTAAAGTATAAGTAGTCCGTTGCTCTAATTATGCTACGATAGGAGCTGATCGTCGTTCTAATTCGAAAGCAGTAAGATGTTTACATATCTTATTAAAGAAGCTATTAAAGAAACGCTTAACAGCCATATTAGGAACTCGCAAAGCTGAGCTAATCTTCTGCTAGAGATAGAAGGGCCACTCTAGTTCTAATATATATCCTTTAATAGTAAGACTAATAAAACGAGCTTTAAACTTTAAAAATAGCTCTCTATCTTTCATAAGCAGATTGTGGAAAGCGGCTTAGCTCTCCGCCTGCTTATTACTAGTTACGAAGTATAATCTAAGCAGCTTAATTATTTCCTCCGCATTCTTAAACTAGTACCCTTCCGTCTTTAATAGGTACTTAGGTTCGAGGTATCCCTTAGTATTATCTAACGTGTAGCTATATACTATAGCTATCTAGTAGCGTTCCGTAGAGAAGTGGTCTAAGTTTAGGTTAAGTTAGTCTTCTACTTCGGCTTACTACTAGGGAAAAGTAGAACCTTTCTTATTACTTAATTAGCTAATAGAGAATAAGATAAGACGGCTTAGTTTAATACGTGGAGGCTTAGGGGTGGTAGAAGTATATCTTAGTAATTAGTAGGAAGGTAGTTCAGCCGATATTAGTAGGGATTTGGTAGTAAGAACTACGTTACTCCGCAGCTCGGCGTTTTCTTAGGTTAGTTAGTAAACTTAGTTAACTAAGCTAGCCATCTACCTATAGAGGTCTCTTATAGTTAGTACTAGTACTAAATTCTCCTTATCTTCGTCTTCTTCTTCTTCTCGTAGAGATGAAGTCTCTAGAGATTCCTAGGTTAGCAGCTAACTAGCTTTCTTCTCCGAGACGGTTTAGTTCTAGAGTCGGACTAATTTCCGAGATAGTTTCTTAGAACTACCGGGTTTTAGTAGGTTAACTATTAGCAATTACCTCTAAGGTTAATAGGTTATTAGTAGTCTCTAAGTCTCTATCGTAGCGCACTCTACGCGACTTTTACTAAAGTAATCTACCTCGCAAGGAGCGCAGAAGTTCTAAACCTAAAGGCTTCGGCTAGTAAAAGATTAGTAGAATCCTGTCTAGGTAAATGTTAGATATAATAGTGTAAGTATCTGGATTAGTACTAGATAACTTAAGGTTAGACGTAGTCTGAACAGACAGCTGCGATATTATTTTAAAGCTGTTACTAGCTAGGACGAGACTTTTAATATAATATAACGGCGTAGGTAAGACTACTTAGATTAGTATCGGCGGTAGTGTTACTTAGAGGCATATAGGAGTGCGTGGGACATTAAACGAGCCTTAATTTAAATAGACACCTATAGGCCTTATACGAAAGGATATTAAAAGTCTATAGAGCTAGCTACAAGAAGTGTCTTCTTATATACTTATCTTAGTCGGATCCGAATTAGATCCGACCTCACAACGAGTGGTTAATAAAGAGAGCGGTGAGTACTACCTCCGATCTGGCTCTGGGATTAGTCCGATACATAGCGAAGTTGTAATATCGTTATAGTTTTAGCTAAACTAGGTTGAAACGTTTCTAGCCTTATGAATTTATGCATCATTTTGTTAAAAACTCTAATCTAGAGTTATTAATTTATTTAATATATATAGTAAGATTAATATCTACATATAACTATACATAGAGTAATATAGAAATATGTATAAAACTTAGTATATGTTATATACATAATGCAAACTAAGGATTTATATAAGATATTAAGTACTTTAAATAGAGAATGAATTATAACAGATAATGGAAAAATTTAGAGGTCTAATAACGACTATATTAAATCTTCCTTATATCATAATAGTAACGTGGTTCACCACAAAGCGGTGCACCTTACTAAGCAGCGCAGTCTTCTTATTAAAACAACTTCCTAATACTTCTTACGCAACACTACTATTATTTTTATAATTAGGTAGAATAAGATTTTATTTAATAGACTTATCGCTATCCTCTGTATCCTCTGATTCTACGTAGTAAGTACAAGAGTTATATCTAGTTTAGCTATAACGCCTATGATACTGTTTACTACGCACTCTCTTCGCAGACGTTACACTATTCTTATACCTATTACTATCTAGCTTGGCGATCTAATTAGCTATCTAGCTAACTATCTAAGACTCCTCTACCTATAGGTAGCGCCTTTTACGAGTTTTTTACTTTATTACTTTAGTAATCGTAGCTTTAAGGCGATGAAGTTTCTTATATATAAGCACTATATTATAAGCTATCTACTAAGCTCCCTTACTTAACTAATATATCTACTTCTAAGGAGAAGTTATAGGAGAACCTTACTAGATTTTTATGCGGTTTTAAATAAGCGTAGTCTACGTCTCTATTTCGCGCGCGTTACACAGTATTTTTAGCTCTTATATAGTAGTCTTCTAAGATAGTAAAGTTAGCGTACGTAGTACGATGTTAAGCTATAATACAATGGGGTGACAAAAAAAAAGATCTCTAAAAAGTTATGATTTTTAAATATGAATTGCTTAGTGGGTATAAGCGCTTAACTAATAAAAAATATACCGTTGAATAGAGAATTTCTTAGCATTTAAGAGAGTAGACTAATATAACTGCTGAGTTAGAATTAGGAAGGTCATGTGTCCTCTTAAAAGTAGAGTAAAATAGTCTTCTAACTTCAGCGCTTGATTTCGCGCTATAAATTTTCAATTTTCTAATATTGATCTATATATATTAGTAATATGCTTACTAGGTGACTATATACCTGTCTTAGTTATAATAGTTTACACGTTAAATATATACTACAGTGGGGTGACAAAAACAACGTAGTAAAAAAAGTTATTATTTTTAAAAGATAATTACTCAGCAGCTATAGTGGCTATAGATATAAAGGTTAGTGCGTTTTAAAGCTAAGATCTTCTAGTCTTTTACATAGGTGTCACGTGATATTCTACGGCAGCTTTAGGTAGATCTATAATAACTTAAATACTTAGAAAAATTCTAAAAGATTTTGAACTTTTAGAACTCTATAGTAGATAGAGCTATATAGCTAATAGTTATATATATAGTAGTAGTAGATATATAGATCATGTAATAATAGTCTTAGCTACTCTAGCTTATATATATAATAGATTCTTAATACATCTAGTACTTAGCCTATACTTACATTAGCAGTATATTAGTCAGCAATTAGTTAGAATATTATATATATATCACTCTTTTGATTCTTAGTCTCTTAGATCTTTATTTCCTCTAGATAGATCCAAAACTTTCTTAATTTAATGCTAAAGTTAATCGGCTTATTAACGCTAATATAGCTATTAAAAACATTTCTGTCTACTTTTAGAAGCCTCTAAGATCGATCTACGACGCTATTTATCGTATTAATAAAAAAAAGAAAAACATTACTAAGTAAGAAAGAGCTAGTAGAGGCCGGGTTTTAAAGCTTTCTACTAGGACTAGAAGAGCTATTAATAGGGATATAACTAAGAGCCTAAAGAAGACAAATTCTAGATTAATCCGCGAGAATAATCTAGAAGTTTCTACTAGAACTCTTCAAAGAGTTCTTAGAGTAGAAGGCTGGATA